ACCAGTAGCCAGTGGCTGCCAAAAAATATCTCTGGCCATCTATCTTTGGTTTAAAATCGCCAAAAAACGTGACGAGGGGAGAGATGAGATAGAAGGCAAGGAAGGGAGGATCGGGCAGATAGCCCGGGGATATGAAACGACTTAGGCCGCGTTAGTCCTTTAATATGCCAAGATTGACGTCGATTATGCATTAATAGGACACGCACTATAAATAACGCGCCTTTGGCCCTAGCGAAGTCCTGTCGTGACGTCTATGGGCCTAATGAAGGCTTTTTTCAGCATACGTTCCACGTAGTCGACCGGGGGAGCGAGTGAAAAAGAGGCTGCAGGAGAAGTGCACTTGGAGAAAAAATTGGCCTATGATTGGAATATATGAACATAGTCCGTAGCACGCTTTTAGACATCTTTTCAAGATACCGTCTGTACCCCTATTGCTATCAAAATTATGATAATAGGTAACATAAATTGGTTATGATTAACAATATGGACTCGAAGGTGTAATATATAGGTGTAATATTTTCATATATGCACCAAATTGTCGAGATCATTTATGAATATCTTATAGAAATTGATAACGGCTTATAGACTGCACTGTTGATAGCACATGTGAAGAAATATGATTAGATTAGAATAAAATGGATGGACTATGAAGATAGCGTTCTTTATAAAGTACGTATAAAAGCGAAAGTTTTCAAGTTCTTAATGTTAGGTGTCAGGGCAATAATCTTAATATTATCATAGCTAAGTATGGTTATAAAATTACTTATTGGGACCCATTAGCGAAATAGCTGTTTAATAGGAATGTGGTGGTTTTGGCAAGTACAGCGGGTCTTTTAAGCTTGATTAAAAGTAAGAGGGCCCCTTTCTCAGCCAATACTCAAGTAACCAATTTAATACTCTCAATTTTCTAGCAACATCATTTTAAAGTACCTTATCTTAAATTCACATAAATCAATCTATAGCTTCCGTGTTAATTTTCTATAGCGTTTTTTTCCATTTCCGGAGTACTTTGTTGTGTTTCGACATTTTTTAGCAGTGCAATAGGCGTCACCACCCATTTCGAATTTTGCGCTGACATTGATTGATTATAAATCGGCATACATTGCAAATCCAAAGAGAGGACAATAAATGCCTGGGCTGCTGTTGTTGCTGTTGCTGTTGTTGCTGCCGGGCATCCTTTGTGTTGCTGCTGTTGTTGCTCCTTGTGTTGCTGCTGCGGTTGCCTTTGTTTGGTCTGTGACAGCTTTTAATCTTGCACGAGGCACAGCAGCAACACCAAATGCTCTACAGCAGCAGCAACAATGGCAAGGAGCAGCAACAATGGCCACTCGTAAAGTGCCTGGGACGGCGACGACTGTGTGGCATATTTGAAAATCACTTTAGTTCATATTTCGGACGCACAGCCTGAGACCTCAGCCAGTTGTCATTGCGTTCCTAATGCCTGTCCAAAGCGTTAATGATGCGGTTGCTGGTCAACCGCAGCAGTCGCCGCAGCAGCAGCAACTAGCAACTAGCAACACCCACCCAAAAGGCACCCAAAAAGCGTCCAAACCACCCATCTATCCCATTCCTACCCTTTCCCGCCCCCTTGTCCTTCACGCAATTTACATAATGGTCGGCTCCTGATGCAGGAGAGATGCTTTCACCAACAATAACAACGCCGGCCATAGCAATAGCAGCAGCAACAACAGCAACATCAACAACATCAGCAGCAACAACAACCGTTGATGGCACGTTTTTGATTTCAATTGCTATTGCCAGTAGTTTCACTTGACTTTATGTGCTCCTGCGTCTCATCCCTAAATCAGTGCACTGAGAAAAAATTAAATGAATAAGAACTAACTTAGATTAATAGTCCCCATTCTGTGAAACCTATATTTTTAATGAATTTCTTCAAGATATTAAAAATACCATACATTTTCTATGACATGTATATACTATAAACAACATCTTTAATAAAGGTCTATGTATCAACCTTTAGTTATAACCTTTAAATAATATAAGGAATATTCTTCAACATTCTTTTCAGATTTTTGGTTGTAAAAGGTAAGTATATAATCAGATCTCTGTGGGCTCTCTCATTTCCTGTTATTTCTTGAGTAAAGTAAGTTCTTTAACTTCTTGATAGTATACCCCTTCCTAACTAATTTACTTACAAATTTACTAAACCCACTCGACTTTTCTCCGCGTGCAGCCATCTTTCTCGTTGCTTTCTGTTGGGCTCTGATGTCTGGCCTATATAGGTTGCTTGGCGCCATTTTATGTACGTAGCAAAACAAAAGTTATGGCCCGATTTTCCCTATCGCCTATGTCGCTTGGCCCCACCCACTTTCTTTTTTTTTTTTTTTGCCTTTTGCTTTTTGGGTTGGGGGCGTTCTGGTAACAAGTGGGACATTTGCCAGTTTGCCTGGCCGTTGTTATTGTCCTTGTTGTTGATGTTGCTGGCAGCAATAAAAACAAGCACAAAATGTTGACGCCACCCTTTTTTTTTGCTGTTTGGTGGACCAAAGTTACGCATCTAATAGGAAATCGGCATAAGTATATGTGTACACAATGGAAATCCTAGTTTTCCTTATATCCCAATCCCGAAAATCCAATGATAATTTTAAGCAAACGAGCGAAGGGCCATGGTGAAAGTCAAAGTCAATTACGTGGCGCTTTCACAAATCTTTTCAGCCAGGACAATCGTGTTAAGGAGATGGGGTTCTTTGGGAGGTTGGGTGATGGTATGTCAAATTAATAGAGAACACACACGTAGGCAGGATCTTACCCATACACACACTCACTCACACACATCGCCTCGTAAAATGTAATGTCATAAGTGCTGCTCTGAACCTAAAACATTCCGCTGAACGTCAGCTCCTTCCCCTCGCAACTCCATCTATTGCCTTTTTCCTTTCCTCATCCTGGTAATAGCCTAGTGAGAATCCTTGGCTGCAATATTACGACTTTCCCATGCCCAGTAACAGGTTTTTTTAATCTTGAGTCGCAAAAGCGCTGCTTGAACAGGAACTATATAAGTTTGTGTTATAGGGAGTTCATGCCTTGAAAGCAAAAAATGTTTTTGGGCTATTGAGACTGCAGTAAGGAACTCTTATCCTTTCTGCAGATCTTAAAATAGTATATAATTTTAATATATCTTTGAGAAAAATGTTAATAATATGCAGGCACCTAACCAAGTCCAGTTTTTTTTAAAAGATTTGAAGAACAAATACTATAACTCACATTTAAATTAGGAAAAACAGGGGAACATGTACACGGAGGCATTTGAAAGTAATAATAAAAGGTTGGCTACGTAGATTACAATTAAAATGCTGGGTGTTGGACCCTCTTCAGCGGTTCCCATTCCCACAGGTCCCCGAATTCGACATACCCTCACCACAGCCAAAACAACGGGTACAAAAAGTGGCTTCTCTTTTTCGGCGGAGGGGAGTAAAATATTCGGATTAGTTATGCTGTTGGTCTGCCCCAGGCAGTGTCTGCTCGTCATCCTCCCACTCAGTTGGAGTGGTGGGTTTTCTGCCCTTTGTGTCCCAGCACTCGACCAGGACGAAGATGGAGTCCTGGACCCGGACCATAACTAATTCCATGGTTATGTATTGTAGTTTCCTGCGCTGCCGTCGCTGCATTCATTGCTCACAAATTGGCAGGCAGTGCTTGAGGCTTCTGCACTTGTGACCAAAGAGTCACTGGACCAGTGGACTTCAGACTAGGGGACTCTGAACCACCCATCAAGGAACTGTTGCTTGCCAAGGGGAATCCGGAATCTGCTTAGTCCGGGTCTGTTGTTCAGTCAGTTAGTGGCTTATTTGTAGGCAAACATTCTCCGGTGAGGCCCCGGGATCCATCTAGTTCATAGATTTATCTAAAATAAGTGAACCATCTAATTGTTCAATAAGTTCATCCTGGGCCCCGAGCATCTCCTTGTTGCTTGTTTAGAATATCCAGGGAATGAATAGCCAGCTTAGGCAAATGGAATCCCCACTCCAAGGCTAGGCAGCATACCCATACCCATGCTCGCCCGCAGGCTCCGACCTCTAGACGTGCTTAAACCCAAAATTAGGGGTGGTTACAGTGGGTCCTGCTGGGTAGTTGGGTGGCTCGCTGCTCGGGTGCTTCTTCTCCGGCCTTCTTACGGGCCATAAAATTTAAAAGCGAGCAAAGCATTTTAGCTCTGGTGCAATTTATTAGGCCGGCTCATCGCGCCGCATTTCGGGCCTTTGCGTAACAATTGCCTTCATCTGTTGATAAATCCCTGGCATGGCACCAAGTAAATTGAAAATATACCCCGCCGCACACACGAGAAGGTGGCACATCGACTTCTCCTCCAATTCCGAATCCGATGTGCAGCCAACTGTGTCGCAGTTCTAATTATCCACGCACATGTCTGCTGGCAAGCATTGGAACAGGCCAACTTCTTTAACTTTAACTCAAGTTGGTGTTAGGAAAAAAAATCATTTTATGAATTTAAAAATGTTGTATGGATGTTACGCATCTTGTTGCTTTAAAGTCTTGGCCTAAAGTTAGGAATATACATACTTCAAAAGTTTTTACAAAATTCGAAAGTGTGTAATTGGTCCAGTTACCGATGATGTGGAAGAAAAGTTTCGCCCAGGGACGTTCGACTGTACCTCCATTGAGCTGAAGACCGGGCTTAAAGCGAGCCCAGAGGACACGGACAGAAGCTGGTAAAGCAGGAGCTTCCGCTTCTGTCTTTTATGCAACTGCAGTGGCCACCCGCTGGCTGCCTCAGTGGCAAACGGCATTCAAAACAGCAGCCAGGACGGCCCGCCAGCTGTGCAGCTGCCTCCGCATCCGCAAGTGGCGTGAAAGTTATGAATTTTAAACATTTTCTGGCAGGGCATCGTCGGATCCAGAGAACAGCGGCGCAGAGAACGCCCCTTTGGCCACGTCCATATATTAGTTTCGGTGTCTTCGTGGCGTCTGCAGATTTATAGCAGGCCAAAATCTGCAATTGTGGGTGACTTCTTTCCAGCTCGTTCTCGTTTTCTCAGAAATTGAAAGAAATCTTTATAAAAAATACGAAAAGAATGTATAAAAGTTGTATAAGTTGCATCACTTAAAGCTAAATATCATTGTCTGTGCTTCAGGATGCTGCGCTGCTGTTGCGCCAAATATCCACATCCGTTTGGAGGCATTTTCGGAATTTGTAGTTGACCAGGCCAATGGAATACATGGGGTTGGTGGCCTTGTAAAAGTGCAGACCTCGTCCAATCTTGATTATGTACCCATTGCTCAAGCTGCAAGCAAAGAAAGTATATAGATAAGATATTTTATATATATTTGGCTAGTAGGGTGGATCGATTATAATTGTGCTGGCATTAAAGTGACAAACAGAAGGCTCTGTCTTCCATACCTATTTTGCGTCACCATTATAAACGACTCACCCTACTAAACATAATTTTGCTGACGTGACGCAATCGTTTTGCAAGCTTACTAGATTTTGCGATCGTGCAGCGAGTCTTCATATTTGATGGCGACTGTTATGTTTCTCCGCTCCAAGTCTCCTTTGATCTGTCCAAGATTTGTTCTTTGTTGATCGGGGTTCTTAGCATCCTGGTACTCTTTAGTGATCAGTCGAAAATACTTCAGGTTGGGGCAGTTGGTGGCGGCTAGCTCCAAGAATCTCACAAGGTTTTGATACTGCAAGAGATTTAATAAGATTGTTATAGACCGATCCGTTGTTGACTTGGTAAATATTGGATAATTCTTGCTTACCTGGTAGTTCTGGGTCATGTAGGGTTCTTCCAGCATTATTTCCACGGTCTTGTCATCCATATATTTCCCAAAGAGCTGATCGTAATCGAAGCCCGTGTCGTTTTCGTTAATGGAGACGTGGGAAACTACCTCGCCGAGCATGAGTTTGCCATTAACCCGCGCTTTTATGGCATCCGCCCGATCCATATACTCCTTGATCCTAATGAGAAATCCCTTCCGCTTCGTTTCATCCGGTTCTCCGTTCACGAACTGCATTAACTGAGCGATCCCCTCCGTGTAGAGAGTTTGGGCCTCCAAGATCCGGGCATTTTGGTCGCACTCAACGGCGCGTATGAGTAATTCCTTGGCTTTCAAAGCGTTGCTCATCTTGGCATCTCTATAGGGATTTTTAAGTACTTAAGGTATGTTTATATTACTTTTTAGGATCTTTTAACCGAGGATCGTTTACATTTAATATCTTTTTACCACAAAAATCAACAACGAAATCGGCATCAGCTGATTGTGTGACCATAGAGCTCTTATCTGAAAAATCAGAAAGAACTAGTGATGTTTGGTATTTATTTAGCATTATCTTTTGCTGACCGTTATTATTTGAATTTTAGAATTTTCAGAAAAGCAGTTTATAAGTTTATATGTTTGACTTTGAAATAAAATAGTTAAAATCATGGAAATAAAAATATTTCCATCCACAAAAACGATTTATATTTAAGAATTACAAAAGGTTATAAATATAAGGGGATTCCCTTGAGTTTGCCATGGAATTTAATACCTCTGATATTTAATTACAATCCACTTAACGTAACATGTCTGTATTAAACACATGTTGACCGCTTTTAATATAAAATAAATAAGAGTACTTTAATTTAAAACCTGTCCTTGACGTACATTAAACTGTGTATTCTTCAAGTGGATTACCCTGAACTTTTTTATAACTTTTGTTATTTTTTCCCTGGCAAACTTTTCAATTGCAACATGTGCAAATTAAAAACGTCCCAAATTTGCATATTTCACTGGGGCCCGATGACGTTCCCTTTATGGCTGTGTCGCTTACGAGCAATTACCTGGAATCGAAAACGAAAGCGTTTTATCGCCAGCCAACAGTCAGACATGCCAACATGGAGCCAAATTCAATTTCACTAAGCCAAATATTAATTTATTTGTGTTTTCATTTCTGGCTCAAACCGCCAGGTGACCAATGGACGCGGATGAGGATGAGGGACGGCCATCCAATCCAATCGGAGTCAGCCAAGGAAAAAACCGAAAACGTTTCGTGTAATTTCGACCATGGATGGGGTACTTTTTTCGAGTTCTGATGGTTCGCTGGGTGGTGGCTGAGTGGTTTTCCCGGCCATCCCGAGTTCGTATTTTTATTTATGTCATAAATTTTAAGCCATTGGGAGCTGTGAACGGGAACGTGACGTCAGCTTATAGTTCGCATTGCGGGGCTTAAATTTTTCGCATTTTAAATGCGTATTAAGCAGAAAGAAAAGTCATTTTAGGTGATTCGACATAAAACCAGCCACCCAGCTCATCCAATTGCGAATAAATATGGCTTAATACATGCGTGTGATGATGTGCGGCTATTTGACTATGCAATTTGTTTGCCTCGATAAAGTGAAATGTCAAAAAAAGCGAATCGCATAATTCGAAAAGCCATTGAAAGTGATGTGAAATATTTAAAATTCAAATGAAAACTATATTTGGCGTGGAGAATAAAATTTTGTTTTATTTGCAAAGAAGCGCTATTAGTGGTTTCTATTAAAAAAAATTGGAACTGAATAATCTAAATTATTTTAAAATCAAAAATAGCATTCTTACCCAAGAATGATACTTCAATATACAATATGGTCTTTGATCTTTTATTATACAAATGTATAGACTTTCTAAGTTGTTGTTACCAAGTATTCCTCTAAGAAAACTTTGTAACTTCCTATACTAGATTAAAATTCTTCACTTCGAAAGTAAAACATTTTAATAGTTTCAGCAAACTGGGAACTAAGGATCCTAAAAAAACATAGCATACTTTCCGACTGAATACGGAATGCAGGCGAAACCGCTTTTGGAATTCAAGTTGCTAAATGAATTTGCCATCTCGAAAGAAACTGTTTTTATTTGTAAATTAGACAACTTGAAGTGAAAGTGACCTTGTTAAAGACAACATGATGGAGGAGACGTTGAGCTGCTCCTTTTGGGTGCCACGCAGGACTAACTTTTTGTTTGGAATTAGTGGAATTGTATCTTGTAGAACACGAACTCAAGTGGGCCAAAGCTGCGAGCCTAGAGCTCTGGATCCATGGATATATCCACATGTCAACCAATAATGCGCTGTGATGTGCCAAGCCACTTGTCCGAGTGTCGAGAGGTGGGGGGGTTTTCGGGGGAAGTGGGTTTACCAGAAGATTTCAGGGGGTTCCGGGTGTTCCAACAGGGTGGGTTAAGATCTTCTCAAGTTGGGGTGACTTAGAGGATGGATATATAGGGAATGGGAACTGGAATGGGAATCGGAATCGGCATCTTTAGCTGGGGGGCAGTGGTTAGCTTGGCTTAGCTCATATTACGGGTATCTTGGCGCCAGCTTTTTATCGTCGATTATTTTTCTTTAACTGTGCGTATTTTTGTTGCTGGCCCGATTTTATTGTTGCTGCCTGTGCCTTTTCGCTCAATATTTGCTTGCTAGCTGCTGCTGCTTCTTCTTCTTGCTCTTGCTCTTCTTCTTCTTAGTCTTTTGGCTTCCCTTTTTTCCGCCACTTTTGCAGCCTTTCTCGTTGATTTTTATTTGTTTCTCTTTCAATTTATTTTGCCATTTCGTTTTCCTTTCTGCTGTCATTGCTGTTGTTGTTGCCACTGCCATTTTCATCGCTTTTATTACAAACACACACACACACACAGCAGACTCACTCACACAGGCAGACACACATGTGGAGCAGCTCCCCACATTGTGTGTCCTTCACAGTCACAGTCACACTCACAGGCACATTTACAGTCGCACATTCACAGCCACACACACATCCACAGTCGCAGTGCGTGTTTGTCAGTCTAACTGTGTGCTCAGTGCACTGCGAGAAAACTTGCTAAAGCTAATAAAGGATTAATAAATTAATAAGCACGTTGGTCCTTGGAAAATTTGAGCTTTAAGTGGTATAAAGAGGAATGCACTTGACCTCTTTTAAAATTAAAAGGGCTTATGATTGTTGTTTTAGGTTATTGAAGAAATATGTATCTATGTATGCTTGTTCATTAGTAATATTTTTCAGGGTTGTATTCTGATAAATTAACAGGAATTGTCTTTATTTTATATCGGTAAATTGTTATTTTTTAGTATTTTTTAAAACCTTGTAAAAATATTAAAATGTATTGCTTGTATCTTTTACTAGCTTATTGTTTTTCTATGATTATTATGTCTGCATTATCTTTTATTTATCCTTATTAACTTCAGGACACTGCTCTACAAAATGATTTAAGAAATCTTAGGAAATCATTTTATAATTTTAATTTAAAAAACTTATTTTGTACGATCTCAAAAATGGTAAGCACATGTAAAATTGCTTACCAATTTCATCAGCCAGTTTTTTTTTGCTAATATTACTTGCTTTTTATTTTTACCACACTTAAAAATACAATTTTTCAAGGAAATTGGTAACCAAAAACTACGGTGTAGGGATTTAAACTTCCTTGAGTACTTTCCAGAGTGCACGCTGACATACCCTTGACTTTCGATAGCTTTCTCTCAGTGTGTTTGCGAATCTGTTTGTTTGCTGCTAAATGTGCGCTCAGCCCGCCACTCATTTATGTCGTCGATGTGCCACAGCCGCTGTCACCCGTCGCCCCCTGGAAAAACAGCCCCTCGCCGCTCATCAAACAGCAGCCTTGCCACCCATTTTGCCAACCCCCTTACCCCGCCCCTGGCACGTTCGTTCGTTAACGTTCAGTTTTCCACTTGATGCTATTTATGTTTGCTTCCATTTTTCAAGAAGGATCAAAATTTATATTGGCTAAAAAGTCCCTCGAGAGCTTTTTACCCCCCTCCGCGACGTTTGGGTTGCTTTGAGGAAAAGGAAAGCCCCCCCCATCTCATCACACACTCTTACAGATGTAACAAATTGTAACACAATCGTAACTGTTTACCCGGGGGTCAGGGGTCGCCAAAATCATAACCTCATGAACTTTTGCGCCCCCCTGCGAGCGCGGTAAGTGGCCACGCCTCCTTTCTCTTTTTAGCCCACATGTCCCTCAACTCGAGCGATTGAATTGAGCTGTGCAATTGTTTTGATTTCTGGCCCAGGGCCTTCATTTTCCCGCTTTTTCCCTGGCTTTTCCACAGCCATTTTCGCCAGCCCCACACTCCACAACATTATGACTTCTCGTATTTATCGCCTGTGTGGCAAAAATGTAATAAACAATTCGAGATGCTTTATTGCTCTGCAGCAACTCAATTTATATGGCCTGGTCTTTGAGGTGCTCCTTCGACTCCTTATTCCTCCGGATCCTGGCCAAAAGCAATCCCCATCATGACCCCCACCACTTTGGCCTGCTTTTGTTGTGCGTCAGTTTCCCTATTAAGCACACACAAATTGATGATGTTAACAATGACGGTACCAAAATCGCCGGCTCCATGACTGGCCAGAAAAAGCAGAAAGCTGAAGTTTCTGCCGCCGAACCGGAACAGCGCATGGCCAACTGAAATGGAAACTAGCTGGATATTTCCGAAGCCCACAATTGCAGAAATAGTTCAAGATATATGTGTTCTAAGGGAGGTGTTCCAGAAATCTACGCTTTAAAAATATATGAAAAGCTGAAAGAAATAGTTCAAGATACCTAAGTTCTATTGGAGGTGTTCCAGAATTCATAAAAATGTACATGGGCTTTAAAAATATATCAAAAGATGAGGGCAGATCCTAACTTAAGAGAAAATATCCCTAAGAAACAAAGAAAAAACATTATTTGTACGTTTACAGTCCATTGTAAATAAATTTGAAGGCTTGTTTGGTTATGAAAATAAACACATTGAAAAACACATTATCATATTAAATTCTGAATAAATTTGATGGTTAACATTCAATTTTTGGTTTGAGCTCACGGTTGACTAAGCATCATGTGTTTTTTATGGCTTTAAGGCCATGCAATGAAGCTTAAGTAATTGTATTACACAAGGTAAGCACATGTGAATAAATGTTTAAATTTATTTTGCATAAATATTTTATTTTCATAACATAAAAGGTCATACAAGTTAATTTATTGACTTTGTAAAAGATTAGGCTTAAAGGTTAAATTAAATTGTACATATCTTATCATCAGATTATCAGATCATCGCAAAACAGTAATTAATAAAAAGTTGAGTGAGTATTGAATCAGTTTGGAATTTCTTAAAACTTCTTAAAGGCATTGTTGAAAACTATTAAATTAATAAAATAAATGCTTTGTTCCAACTACTCCGCTTTATAGTTTAAATATCAAAGTTTATGTTGTAAATACTGCAGCTGATGTTTATTAAGCATCG